TGACAGACAGACAGACAGACAGACAGACAGACAGACAGACAGACAGACAGACAGACAGACAGACAGAGGGGGTGGGAGCTACTGTATGAATGAGCTGCGGGTTGAAATGGGTTAAAGAGGATTAAAAGACAGAAAGGAAACAAAAATAATAGGGGCGCACTCTAAAAAAGAGGGGCGGGATTGAGAGCACTAAATGTCGGCATCAATTCTACAACAACAACTACAACAACAACAACAACAACAAAAGCACAGACGGAAATTGAATTTCTTTCTTCTTCTTCTTCTTCTTCTTCTTCTTCTTCTTCTTCTTCTTCTTCTTCTTTGTGTTCCCCTGTTAGATCTCAGGGATAACCGATTGCTTGTTCTTTAACCTGAAATGCAACTAAATTTTACGTTCGTGACCGATTGTCCTAATTCGCAGGGTCCTTTGCCTTCAGGCAGCCACTTTCCGATTTCGAAGGTACCGAAGAAAAGTAGCAATGAAAGCTAGTCGGGAAATGAAGACAAAGGTGAAGATTTTAGAGAAGAAAATTTTTCTAGTCGCTGTCAGGTTTCGATCCCGGGAAGAACATCGTGCCTCAAGACCACGAGAGTTCTCAGATGGGTTGTGGTTCGTTAACATGGAATCGATGATGACTAAAGCAGTATGCATGATACAGCTTGGACTGTGCGGTAAACGTAAGTGAACGTAGATTGTCTTAGCAATATATTGCTTCTTTCTTCCCTTCAGATCTTGATTTCCTTGATAGACAGATATATTATATATGTATACACAATAGGAAAGACATTGAATTTTGTTCTACATTTATTTATAAACAAGAGGTAGCGAAACAAATGTACAAGTATAAAATTGGTTGTGGTGTTACTCTCTCAGTTTCAAAAAAGTCGCATTAAGTACATCTTTGAGCTTGGCTATTTCGTTCACCGGGCATACATCTTCCTTCCATTGCAATTAAAGAAATGTTATGTGAGCAAATGTGTCTCCTGATTACATTATATTTATAGAATTAAATTTTGTCTTCTGCGGAGACGTTGTAATTGTAAGGCCTTGCGCACACTAAGAAGATTTCCACTCGCCGCTCGACTACGAGTTTGAAAACAAAGCAATGTTCACCCGTTCTCGTCTCTTCACAGCCAAGTGCCGTTATACTTGGCAGCCGTGCGACAAATATGTAAATTTAATTTGCATAGGGTATGCGAGGCAAAACTTTAACAGTTTTTCAGAACCTAAACCCCAATATTCTTACCACACGGATTCTAAAGTAATATAAAAGTCACACGTTTCGGTCATATTATTATTGTAGGAACTATCAATGATCTGCTCTTCACACAAATGTTTTGGGGACAATAATTTCGGCAGACTTTCGTGACTTCTGTTTTTGAAGTGTTTATTCTCCCACAGGTGTTGTTGACTTCGGCGGTGTGACTTGGGAGGTTTTATAATATAATAAAGTTCTTTGGTGTGTTGAATGAGATACAGGTCGTCTGCAAAGAGAAATTCATTTTAGCTTTTTTGAGTTTTAGTTTAGGTCTTGTGTTATTTTGTCCCCATAGATAAAACACGTCCATGTTGTAATCCCAAAGTACTGTGAACCAGTTTGTGTTGCCTTTTTTCGTTCTTATTAAGCTTCCGCTTTTGGTGTACAGAGCTCACGCGTCGTCCAGTGATTATCCTTTGCTCTAGTGTTTTCCATAGTTTGCCACAGCGGACTCTGCCAAAAGCCTTCTCCTGACCATCACTTTTCCAAATAAAAGTACCGTGTTATGTACAGCTTTTAAAAATGTGCTAAATAACAGTGTCATTCACATGTCATGTACAGCTTATAAAAATACCTTGAGTTCCGAGGTTCCAAGACTTACTGGAAGCAACGTACTGCAAGCTATACCTATATTTGTTTGAGCAAAAGACGTTATGGAAATGGAGTTGTTGAATAAAAGATTTACAGCCAAGAATGCTAACTTATAAAAATGCATATCGTGCTAATCTCATCACATATCGTTATAAAGGAATCACATGGTATTTTGCATTTCATTGGCTGGCCAATTGGTTCGCGCTGTCTCCATCTCTTCTGGTGTTGCCAGGAAGTAATGTCTTATCGGGTGGAGATCCTCGTCCAGTTCACACACTAAAGGTATCGCTGAGGACAGAAGAGACAGTCGGGGCACTCAGATTTGGAACAGAACAATGACTGGACAACAGCAAAGTTGAGGGATTTACGCTACACGGTGTATCTTGCACAAGTTGACAAAACCCAAAGTTTAGCTATATGACAAGAAAAGACTTTTTTCAGTACATGTACAAAGTAAAACGAGCCATATTAATTGAATAAATCGTTATCGGTCAGTGTTACTTCTTGGTATTACCTTTGAGGGCCTATATCTGGGGTTAACGAAGAAGAGCAGTTCTGGACAACTTAGTGCGCGAAGTGGAATCTAAAAATAAGGACTTCTATAAACAAAAAAGCATTGTTAAGTTGCCTTTGAGTTCTACTGAGACGTGAGCGAGCAAAATAAAGGCAAATTTTCGAGAGATACGAATGAATCAATAGTAACACTTAAAAGACAAAAAAGGAGCAGACCATACCAGATGGCCTGCCAGATACCCACGTAAGAAAGACACCCCCCCCCCCCCCCCCCCAAACAACAGTGGCAATCAGGCGCGGTTCGTCCATAGAGCACGGTCGTGCAGTGCCGCCCAAAATGTTTTAATGTTCTATGACGTAAAGCACCCACAATAATAAAATAAAAGACGCCAGAAACAAACACTAGCCAAATATTATATCAAAACAAGGCCTTCGCTGGCGCCGTAACTGTTATTTCTATTCTATAGCGCCGTAAAACATATTCTACTATGCCATACCTAAGTTCATGCGCTGCATCTAAACATAACAGGATAGTCAACAGTGGAAACCTGACCTATAAATCGCTCTTTGGGATAACCCAAGCGATGACGACACGTGTAGAGAGTTAGGCGGTACATTAATATTAATAAGACGGCACATCTCAAATGTGCTCCTGCCTAAAGCGCCGAAACATAGCCCACAGTAGGCAATCTAAAAATAAACACCATAGACTGTGCACTATTCCATGCCAAAATTATGTGGGTCTCGGAGCAATCCAGCGGAGTGCTCAAGTGAATTGTGATTGGTTCATTGTCTTGTCGCTATTTTAAGTGACTCTGTGACCGTGAACCTGAGGGAGGTGAACGTGACATACTTAAGTCGCCGTCCTATGAGTTGTGCTTTTGAACGGTTTGGTAGTGGAGTGGTGAAAGGTATTAGTATTACTTGAGTGTTCAGTTTTAATGCAGGATGAATTAAATTACGTTTAGCTAACAAACAGATTTAGTTCTAGAAGTCAAAGCCACAAATAAAAAGAATGAAAATAAAATCACAAGGTCTTCCTTCACCAACCCAAAGATCCTAAAATTATACACCTTCCCATTTATTCTGCCTTTGATTATCTTCAGCCTAAGATAGCTTAATTGTGCACGTCCACTTTTTAGACCCACGAGCCGCCCCTAGTGGCAATATCTGCATCAATAGCAGAAACAATATGCAAGTACAATCGACAAGCGATGTAGACTACTATTGAACTAACACAATCAACAGTAACGGTAGCAGCAGCAGCAACAGCAACAACAAAGAAAACAACAACAGCAACAACAGCAACAACAGCAACAACAGCAACAACAGCAACAACAGCAACAACAACATAACCGGTTCGCATTCAACACCAACCCGGTACAGAGAACACGCACAATGGTGTGCGCCTAAAAAATACAGTCAACATTTGTCTAAGACAGTCATCCACTGTCCAGGGGAAAAGTAGTTACCTTGGACTGGTGGGTGAATTATGTAGTGTCACTATATAATTCTTTAAAATACGCAAAGGTGCAAATGGGACGTGGCTTTCTACTAGTGGCCGTTAGAGCAGATTCGACTGTAGACAGAAGATTCATATTAAAGACTAACCGTTGGGCATGCGGAAGTCTGAGCAGTCTGTGTTGGACAAGGCACCAAGGTGAGTGATCAGTCCCCTCAGTGTGTTCTCGTGAGACGCTATGAGCACCCGCTTGCCGCTCTGGTGACAGAATGGTCCTCATAACTCAAAACTGCATTGAATTTTTACCTTCAGAAATTGATACATAGATTCATCAAAATTGAACAAACGGTACACAGACGAAAAACTGCCCATTTTCCGTGAACCTCAATGTGAACAAATTGTACCTTTTTTTTTAGGAAAACATCTGCATATATGCACTATCTCTGTATTATTTTAATTCACTCCGTCAAGAACAAGATCAAAGGGGTTGGGGGAGGGGGGGGGTAGAGGAGAGGAGGTGTTCCTCTTTTAATCAAATTTTTGGCAAAAGCTCACTTTCTAGACTCATGCACTTGTTAGTTTCGTTTGTTCTTTTATTTAAGCCAACATTTGATGTTTGAAAGAGGGGACAGGATTAACACACATGAGAAAGAAATAAGACGAAAGGGTGACTATCTCCATCCACCTGTTTAAACTGTTCCGCTTCTTTAACTGTACTGTCATTATTACCTTATATGCCCCCTCGTCGGATCGATACAATATTATTGTTTTTATCATTTTTGAATTAATTCATTTTCCACACTAATTAACTTTAAACCTGGTTTACGCACAAATGGAAATCTTTTTTAACTTTCCTTTATCTCCTCGTTTTGTTTTTTAACAGTAAAAATGCATGTCTTTTCTCTTCTGGTATCCTTTCTATATTGATTTATGTTTTAAATATCTTGCTTTAATGAATGGCATTCTTACAGACCTTGATTGCTGGAGCTATATGGTCATACCAGAAGGGCAAGCAGCGGGCCATGGCGTCCTGGAGACTTTCTGTGGCGGGAACGACACCCGGCTCCAGGTTCTGGGGAACTCACCGAAAGAAAACGGTTGTTGTTTTTTTCAAACCTAAAGAATCCATAGTAAAACAAACGACGATAAACGGGGTTTGTTAAAGGGTCAGGCAAAGGCGAGACCTAGAAGTGGTGGCGAAGTTTTTTGGGGGAAACATTGAAAGAACGGAGGAACAAAATGAAAAGAGTAATAGTGATAGAAGAAAAGAGTAGACGAGAAGAAAAGTAGACGGCAGGGAGGAATAGAGATAAAGGAGACTAAGATGATGGAGAAGAATAGAAGAGTGGAGTATATTATAATAGAGAGGAATAGTGGTAGAGAGGACTAAGGTGATTGAGAAGAATAGAATAGAAGAGTAGATTATAGAGAGAAGTGATCAATTGGGAGAAGTTAAGATAGAGAGGAGCAAGATGATGGAGATGAATAGTGATCAGATAGAAGAGCAGTGCCATCCAACCCGGGTTTAACCTTAAAGTCACTACGTGAGCACATAATAACTCGTCCGTCAAAGTCTGACGATGACCAGTACATCCGAGGAGGAGAATATTTCTCCAGCGAAATAGAAAAAATTGGGCGAATTAAAGGTTACGATGACTTGTGGCTTCAGCTGTGGCCGAAGAGACCAATTTTGGCAGAGAGAATTTTGCCACATTTTGAACATTTAAAGGCTCCACTTCCACTTGTGAGAGGGACATAACAACCCAGCTAAAGGCTGAGATACTCGATGAAATTCCTCCCCTCTCCGGAGTCGAGCTCGAGTCGCCTACGTGCGACAGCGAAGCGCCTAACCACTACACCATAGACAGGCGCCGGTTGGAAAGTTGTAACTGCTCTCGGCTTTACTTACGGTGTAAGGTGGTCTCCCTTGAGAAGATCGGTCATCAGTGGGTTCTAGTGCTGGAGGGGCCGTGCGGAACGACCGACGCCATTTCTGTGAGTAATAGACTTGTAATAAGTAGACAGCATAGGCGTACTGACACAATGACAGGCATGGGACGGATGGATTTGATAAATGGTCGGTGGACAGACAGACAGACAGACAGACAGACAGACAGACAGACAGACAGACAGACAGACAGACAGACAATGTGTTAAAAGATAAAACAGCCATCTCATGGAGCTTCTACTGGTGCAAAAGAATGAGATGCTGTCGAGTATCCACGTTGTCGTTTCGTCTCAATGGTCCCCTTATTCTCCTTCCTTCATCTATGCTCAACTAATTAAGTCAAGAACGCTGTCAGACAAAAGGCTTGTGCGGGGCTTTTTTGCAAGCCTATTTGTAAATATTTCCCCTTTCTCCCCCGCCCCCCCCCCCTTTCCAAAAGAACACATTTCGTACCGTTTAGATTGGACGGCAGGCTCCATTATGTCAGGGTCAGCCCCGATGATTTGAACACAAAATCATAGTTATTATTTTGTATACATCATGAATCTTTGGAAAAATACTGTGAGGCTCAATTTTTTTTTAAAACTTGCCATCACAGGGATCGAACTTAAATCTGTCCTGCCTGCAACGGCAAAGAATCTATGCGTTACACCATAGACATCGGCAGACCTATTTGTATCGAGTAGGGCATAAATTCACATCAAAACAAACCTGGGTTTCCACTCACATGCACCTGTTCCTCCCCGTAGCTAGTCACTGTGCTGGCTTTGTTGAGCCCTTGCAGTATCCCATAATGCCTCTCGTTTAGTCTCCAGCTTCTCACCACGGGAACCCAAAGGGCATCTAGCTCCTCCTGGATAAAGTGCAGAGTCTTCACCGCTCGCTTCAGCACGCTCGTGAACGCTATGTCGAAATCGAACCCGTGCCGCTTCAGTAGCTGAAGTGTAAGGTAAGTTTTTAAGTGAAAAGGGTGGTTTGGGTTTGGGGGAGGGAGAGGGGGGATGAGTGGGGAGGGAGAGGAAATAAAGAGAAGGTAGCGGTGCAAATGGTGGGTGGGAGGTAGATCTACAAATTTATAAGAAATTTAGTAACTACCAGATTATTCTCTTTCTTTTCTTTGTTAAAGAAAATCATGCTGCGTTTAGAAGTACCATGTATACTCAAAGAACACAACGTTTAACATATCGGATCGATATATATATCGAAAGATTGAAGCAAAGTACCAAAATGGAAAACATTTGGAACAACACACACACACATACACACACACACACACACACACACACACACACACACACACACACATATATATATATATAGTGTGTGTGTGTGTGTGTGTGTGTGTGTGTGTGTGTGTGTGTGTGTGCATATTATGTGTATTATACATACAATAAATGTGTATGAACACAAATATAATACACGGTCCAGCAAATGCATGGCATAAATAATAAATTACTCCACGAACGATTTGTTTAACCGGGAACGCCGGATAAGTGACATATTATGGAGTCTTACCTGTCCGCTATAGATGGCCTCCTTGACCCCAGTGTCCGAGAGGTCAGCGTCGTGCCAGCCCGTGAAGAGGTTGGCCCGGTTGTAGGTGCTCTCCCCGTGCCTCACCAGCACCAGGTTGTATCGCGGAGACGTCATATTATTGCGACACACACTCCGACACACTGACACACTGACACACCGACACTCGACCTTACACCTACACACGGCACAGG